TTTTTTTTTTTTTTTTTTTTTTTGAAGTTTCACAGGATGGAAATTTATTCGCCAAACTTCTTTGGGGGCGAACGTGGAAACGGGGTTACTTTGCCACGTTGTGAGAATGTGGCTTAATTAACGTTAGCAAGAGATTCGTCGAAGACGTAGAACATTTCTAACAAAATGTTTCTACAAAGTTGAATGAAAATTTGGATGTAAAATTTCGAAATGTTCGAAGCAAAGAAAAGTTCGTACGAGTTTTAATAACTGATATGAATTAACTAGAAGCTCGTCAAAATTTTTGTTTAGAGAAGAAGAAAATATCGAGCGATATTTCAATATTTTCATAAAAATTATATGCAAATGAAATTTTAAATATAATAATAATAATAAAGAAAACGTTTCGTTGAAAAATAAAAGTAGGTCACTATATAAAACTTCTATTCTAAATTCAATAAATATTTTTGAAACACCCTGTATATATTGTTCTCGAAAAAATAAGAGAAATTTTAAGTGTCTTGTTCGATGACGAGGTTCATAAATTGGCGGGGTGAAAATTCTTTGTCTAAAATAAAGGGAGCAAGGTAACACGTGGTATCTCGAACCGGAAGTTTAACGACAAGAGGTACACGATTTTGAAAGCGATCATTTCAAAGGGGGATCTTTATGCGCGGTGATTTCCCGGTTAGAACATCATCAGTTTAAAACGACTCTATTTACAGTGGAGCATAGTAATATTCACGGTTTATTTGCATAATCGAAAAAAGAAGAGGCGAAGAGGGGAACGTCTTCAAAAGACGTTTTTTAAATAGAAAACGCAATCTCCCATGGTCTCCCTCGAATGCTACGTTAATAACGTGCCATCTTACTGCTGCACAGCATTCTCGAGGTTCAAAAAATACTTGGCGACGTTTTCTCGTAACTGGACTTCGAATCTCCCCTTTGCGATTCAAGAACGCTTGCGGAATATTCTCTTTAATTAAATTGCGTTTCTCGCGGTGTATACAAAATTAGAAATTAAAAAGTTAGGATAGAGAGTTAATGACAATCTTTTTCATGCTTTCTTTTTTCTTAATAATGAGAAATTCTTGATGTTAATTTATTTTATTAATATATAATAAAAATTAAAATAAGTATTATATTAATTGATATTATTAATTTTTGTCTTTTTCCTAAAAATGGAACAAGAAAATTGATTTAAGATCTTTCATTTTTCCTTTCTAAAACGTTTCATATGTATTTCTTCTAACATTTAATATAGAATAATATAAAATATCTTTAAATGTTTAATCAATATCAAGTAATAATTTCAAAATATTTTACAATTTCATCGACGATATGAATTCGAAAAACAACAAGATTAATTTCTTCGTTTTTATCTAATCTCTATTTCGTTTCTCTTTTAATAATCCGTATAATCGCTCTAAATTTCATCAGAAATCGATGAAAACATTCTTCACGCCTGATAACGAATCATTAAAATCCGCAATTTAATTTTTCTATTGAATCGATGAAAACGACATAATATTTTTACCAATAGCTTCGAGCATCGATTATCGGTTATTTAATATCCTCAATTAATTTTGCCTTATCTTCACCGATATATTCGATATACAATCCTTTACTTTCTTTCATTTCTCACTTTGACACGCGAATCTAATTTCCCCAATTAATATTTGTTTAATTATAACGAATATTATAATATAATCCTTTTAATCCTACGCTAATACTATGATTATCTTATGAAAATACTCGAATTCAGATGAAATTCAGTTTTGATTTTTGCTCAATAAAAAGCACTTTTCGATTGGCAGAAAACACGAAAAGTTTACACCACGTGAGAAATTCACTTGGGTGTTTCGTTTCATCCACTGTTATCAATCATCCTCCCTCAACTTACGTGTGTACTTTTTATGGAGCGCGAAGAAAGATGAAAACTAAACATTTACTTTTGCAATAGGGAAAGTTGATCCAACTTTTCGAAACATCGTCTGAATGGGAGATTTAAAATGATTAACATTCGACGAATATTTTCCTCGTTATGATTCTCATTCGTCAATTTGAATTTTTAATTTTTAAAGCAATATCAAATGATAGAATGACTATAAATAATATTAATTCTCGAAAAGAAATCATCGCCCGATATCTTATTCTATCATTAATATTCGATTATATATGAAATAAAAAGTATATTAAATAAAATAAAAAATTATAATTATTTTCTTCATCTCTCCATTCCTTATATTTAATACAGATCGAGATTTTAAATCAAATATAAGGATAATGATTTAACACAAATAACCAGAATTATATTGATTATATTAAAATCTCAATAATATTTAAAAAAAAAAATAAAATTAAAAAGAAATAGAAATAGATACATTAAAATGAATCCTATTGTAGATAAAAATTTAGAAATATTTTTAATTTTAATTGTTTAAATTTTTTCTTTTTTTTTGGAAAAGACAGAAAAAATATTATTGATTATTTAATCCTTTCCACTTTTTTTTTTCGACATCTATTTTGTGCATCACTATTTTCCTTTTTTTTTAAATTGTAAGCAACAATGCCACGTCACACTAAAAACCGTTTGTCACTGAGTTCGCAAAAAAGGTCTGTTCTATTTTTTTTATCTCTGAAAACACGTCGCATACCCCCAAATTATTGGAGCGAGAAGAAAACTAACTGACCGAACGCATATTGAACGGTACCAAACGTCAGCTCCAAAACAGAATTTATGTTCGTATAAAATGACAAATAATTCACGGCCGGTCCTATCATGAAAAATCGTACTCGTATTTAGATCATAATATAGAGTTTAATGCGAGAGACGAATATATATCTGTTTCTAAAAACGAAGCATTGTGATCGAAAATCGTGTTATTTTCATTCGAATCAAAATAGGAAAATATTGTTTCAATACTTTCGACAAAAATAGCAATTTTTCTACATTTTCATGGAGATTCGATGTTCATATTGCGACATCTGTGTATTAAACAACTTCGACCACCACAAACGCGACATCTATTAAAGTAAATTGATCGTAAAATTTTTATACGACATATCGCTAAATTAAAGTAAAAATCTTTTACACATCATTAGAAAACGATATTTTCGCAAGATTAAGATTACCCGATAGCCAAATCCTAGAATCTTATTTATTTGTCGATTCTCTATTCATTGCTAGATTCAGTAATAAGAAAAAAATGAATCATCTATTAATCACCTATTATTGTCATTTTCGAAAATTAAATTAATAATTACTCTTCATCAATCATACTCAATAATCTTATAAAACAATGATCTATCACGGGACTAAACAAAAATATTTATAATAACATTATAAAAATATTAATCTTTCGAAATATTCTAAAAACGCAATATCAAATTTAAAAAAGCGTTAAAAACGCGCGCTTTTGGTACTCACCTCAGCCAGTGGGCCGAGCCGGAAACTTTCAAAACGAAACTTGGAAAAATTCGGGAAAAAAAGAACGAACACTTAAAAAAATATATATCACGTTGTTCGTAAACTGTTGTACAATATCGACACGTAAAAAACTGACTTTCAAACAATGATTAACACACGAAACAATCCGTTTTTCACGATCGACAATCGTTAGAGAATAGATGCAACACAACAGCACGAGGCGCGCGAAGCGACTGAGCCTCTTTCGAGCGCTGGAGTCGCTGCAGACTAGCCGACCTCTACCGAATTGGGCGAAGACTATCGTTCGTGCAAGATCGTAAGGATTCAGCGCGTCCACGTTGCAAACCACGCTACTTTACGTGCCCGCGAAATAATTGTGCCACCGACGTTGAGTAGTCAACATGGTTCCACGCGTACATGATGTCTCTGTCAAACGATGCGAATGCTCGGTGTGAAATGAATATTTATTGACGTGAATATCGCCGATTACGACAATCTGACACCAAGTCTGAAATGTTTTGCTGTGTTTATGAATTATAAATCTTATAAATTGTGATGTCTGGTATCAAGGATTAAGGTTTACATAAAAGATTGAAATTTAAGATTTATAGATTTGATAGATTATAAAGAATAATAAAATAATAAGATTTATGAATTCTAGGATAATAGAAACTTGGCAAATGAAGAAATAAAGTTCTAATAAATATGAATGGAGAAATTTATTGAGCTGATAAATCATCAGGTAAGATGTGAAATTGAGAATTTTAGGTTACACAAGATATTGAAATGAAGAAAAATTTTTTCTTAAAAAATTTAAATTCATTTTTAATCTATGATGTAATACGAGTTATTGAAATTTTCAAGATTTTAGATAGATAGAAAATTAAATTTTAAAATTTTATGAATAGATATTTTACATATGAATACATATGGATATTTTCTAGAGTTTAAGTTTCTGACCAAATTATATTTAAATAATCAATATGATAAAAGAATTTAAATATATTTAAATCTGTCGATAATTTCATCATTATACTTTTAAGATTTATTAAATTTTAGACGATAAATGAGATTGGAGATTTAAGAATGTATATACATAATATAAAACCTAACCTAAATTTAAATTTCCTTATTTCGTTATTTTATAATTTCATAAATGAATTCGATTCAAAAGTATTGATGTTAAAAATTTGAATTTGCAAATTGCTATTCAAATTTATAAACTATAGACAATAGATAAAATAAAATTAATATTTAAAAAACATTGAGTAGATAGAAGGAATCTTCAAATATTATATTTTTATAAATAGATTGATCTAACAAAAAATTTATAATAAACTTTTGAAATTAAAAATTTGAATTTTTCTATAAAATTCATGTTAAGATTCATGAAATGATGGATAAGAAATAAAATAGAATAGATGTTTAAGAATGGACAAAACAATATACATAATCTATAATAACATGAAATACTAGTTTAATAATGTAAATAAAACTGTACTTCATTAAAATAGCAGATACTATTGAATCGAAACACGTAGTACAATTAATTTGCGTGAATATCGGGACAATTATTACGATTATTAATTTATAGCAGTAAGAGTAGAAATTAATGCAATAAACAAACAAGTTTGCAGGAGATAACAGTTTCAAATGAAATATATCTGTTTCAACATACGTATCGTGAAACGATAACGATAACTAGCACTCGTTTTTCAATTTACCTGGAATTTATGTATATTTTAAAAATTGCGTTTCATTTTGTATCTCGGCATGAACACATGTGCTAAATATCGATTATTCTCTCATGAATATTTCCCTTCCCGATTCACAGGAATCATCAGCATTCACAATTATGGAAAAATACATCAACTGTTATTTATTTATACAGGTATCAAGAGAAAAAGAAATTTTTCATGGAAAATTTCTAGAAACTCCGTGAAGCAATGGCATTGTTTTAAAGATTTTTCGATAATTCAATCGATTTCTAATTATACGATTGGATTCATTGGATTCAACTGTAAATGTCTTCAAGTTTATGGGGTCATGTTGAAAGGAGAACTCGATGGAATTCATTGGCTTTTATTGGAATATGGCAAAGGCCAAAATGAAGATCTTTCAATCGGTTGTAGAAATTTCTAGTTAGTCATATTTAATAGAGTTAGTAAGTGAATACAAATCTTTGGGCTGTATTCTAAAATAACAATAAATATAAATAAAATCATGTTACACGAATATGTTACAAAATGAAATAGGGAAAAACATTCAAGTTTTCTTTCTTTTTGTTGATTTGAGAAACTGAAATGAATGAATGAAATAGATCATTCTAAATATTAAACAAACAATATTAAAATTTTTCATTGCAAATTTCTAAGAGCTATGAAAGCTAAATCTGTGAAAATGTTTTTGAAAATTATTTTAAAAATTCATCAAAAAATTTTAATTATTATTTATATTATTTAAATTGTACAAATAGCAAATTTTTTCCTTAATATTTTATTTTTCTTTTGTAAATTAATAAGAATTGATCTTTTTCCTTTTCTTTCTGTCAAACTTTAAAGATAAAACTCATGAAACTTTTTTTTTTTTAACTTTTATTTTCTTGATCTATCTTTAGTTTCTTTATTAAGAAATTATTAATTGGTGATATTAAGTAAGCGTTTCCCTTTCTTTCTCCCTTTTCGAAACTTCTCAAAGAAGATCCTTTCGGATGCTTATCGATTTCCTTCGAAAACCCTTCGGTGTCTTTGAACATTGAAACTTCGTTATTTTATTGAGACAACGTCGAGGAAACGCGATTATGAGTTTCAAATGAAAGTTTCGACGCCGTCCAAATGCAAGAATCGAGGACAATCTACAATGTTGTCGACCTACTTGCAACTAAAATTTATTACTCTCATCCGAACCCTATCATCTTCGATCGGTGAAAATAGCTTTTCTTCTTTCTCATGATGCTTATTTCCGCCTGCATGGACGATGTCGGCTATTTTCTATCTTCGCACTTCGTCCCAACATTCACTCATTTCTTCTCTTCTTCTTATTCTCATGATTGCAATATTAACCAAAGTAATTAATTCAATAAATATACTGAGTAGAAAAAGTTGCTATGACATTTTAATTGATTTTGATTAATCCGATAAAAAACTTTTTAGAAAAAAATTTATTCATATCCGAAAATTCACCCTCAAAATTTCTTATAACTATTTCAAAATTCTCTGAAATGGTTTCAAAAGAAAACTATTTGTACCTTTTACGAAAAGAAATTATATTTTTCACACTCTACTTAGAATATCAAATCAATAGAAAATTAATATTCTCCGCTCTGCGATAAAATTAACGCGAAGTTACGAAA